ATTCTTTTTTATTTTTATGAGGAACTGTAGAACTATAAAAAAAAATGCTACTGGAACTGTCATATATTATTTTTTTATAATTTTATATTAATAGAATGTCGTGCTAACTTTATGGATACTCAAAAGTGGATGAAGTTATAACATCATATTCTATTAACATAAGAAAAAAAACAATGGCAATTAATAGCATTCTTTTTTCATAATTCTACTGTTCTTTATGAAAATAAAAAAGTGTTGTACAATTTTTATACTAAAAAACCAAAATTGAAAATATGGCACATTAAATTCGAATCTATCATAATACTTCTCCTTTAAAGTACTTACAAAAACGATTGAGTTTTCTACTTATATTCACTAGAGCTTTTTTATTCAATATAGTGTGTACTATCATTTAAATGCTGAATGGTTTTTTTCTAATACCCTGAATATATACTGCATTTCGCGTTGCAGAGAAGGAGCAAAGAAAAAATTTATTTATCAGCGAAAAGTATTCTGCGATCGTAAACTCTCGCACATCAAACAAAAGTATAGATATTTTTATACAATCAATTCTCTCTCCTCATAACTCAACTACCTTCACCAGCATTCTCTCATCGGTAAGAGACATAGATCGCGCGTATATAATCACGCGGGCTCGCGCGATTACTCACGTAATCACAACGCGCTGTTTTTCTAAATGAAATCATCCAGTAGAAGAAAATGATAGTATTCTCGTCTCTTGTGGTGCCAAAGCTGTATACGCAACGGTCAACCTACGATCCGTGTATAATACTCTGTCAAGACAGAGAGATCTGATCATCCTGAAGTTCAATCTCCCGAACTTAATGATCCGGTGCGTGGTCGAGCGATCCGGAGATGACGGCGAGTGATATATCCATAATTAGGTGTCTCGAGCTTTAATCTTCCATTGGTTTTAATGAAAATCTCCACCCCTCCCCCCCCCGTTTTGACATACCCTAATTTCACATTTCGTTGGGACGCCGGCATGGCCTTCTTTTTTTTCTTTTTTTATATTTTTTTCTCCTTTTTTACTCTTTAAAATATTGAAGTACCGTGGGCGAACTAATAGATGGCCCGGGGGTACAGGATGAGCTTGAAGAATAGAGAAGGAGTAAGGAAATAAAAGAGAAGTCGGTTGCGCGAGGGTGCGGATAGCGCGAGAATATCCGGAGAAAGGAAAGAGAAGGCGAGGTAGGCCCGCAGGGTGTGAGAAGGAGAGAAGAATGGATGGGTACGAGGGAGATGGACGGCGCCGAAAAAAAGAGTTTGCCAACAGCGCTGGGGGATGCCCCGAAAACACGCTGAACGTGTGGCGCCATTTCGGCTCCTTTTTTTTCTCTATCTTCTCCGTCGTCGCTGATCCCTCCGCGATTCCTCGTGCTTTTGTTTCTTCGCCCATACTAATTCTTCGCGGGCTGCACGGCGTGCCCGGAACGCGTGTAGGGAACGAACTGGAGTCCGTGGAAAGGGGCCGGAGGATGGGGACGAACCAGGCGGAAGAGGACTTACACGAGCTTTGCCCCATTCGTGATAAAGTAGCTCGTATTTAAAATAAGTCAATTTTTCGTTTGCTTTATTTTTTTTTCACAAAAAAATCGCATACAAATCTTTCCTACGGAAATATTTGAAGAAAGTAGCTTGATTCAATTGTTGACGTTGAAACAATTTTCTTTTCTAAATCGAATTCTGTATGTGTTTTCGAAAGATATGTTTGCTCTAAAGTTCACTGTGTAAACTTTGTAAACTGTGTAAACTTGTTCTTATTTCGCATGGAGCTCTAAGTTTACGTGGAAAGAGAAAATGAAGGTGGAAGTGATAAGGCACGAGGTGGCCCCGCATACGCACAGCACACGCGACTCGTGTGCGCGATACTGTAGAGGCCCCCTCGGCATGGTGGCCCCCGTGAACGCGGACCACATACCTGCAAGCGAATGCTCTTAAAAGGGAGGGTAGACCAAAGAACAGGTCGTTAAAATGTAATGACATTGTTGTTTTTAATGTTCGCCTCTTTAAAACGGTCCCTTTCGTCTTCCTCGAGCCTGCCAGCTACTTCTGGCGCTACCAGCCGTCCCCCCCCCCCCCTCTCGACCCGATTGCCCGACCAAAACTCCTTTAGCACTCTTCCTCCTTTCCTTGTTTACGTGAAAGACAAAGAGGAACTAATTGCGAATTAGTCCATCCTTTTTCTATTGTTGCTCAAAAGTATCCTGTTATATGCTTCATCAATTTTTCTGTGAAGGTATTTTTTTTTAAATTTCTCACGTTCAAAAGAATATAGAACGTAAAATAATTCACAAGTAATCCTTCGACGAAGCTTTATCTTAAAAATAAAAATATCTGAGTTTTGCAATATTACACATTATATTAATAACATAATGCCAATCATGATAAAGACAATCTATAATTAAGATAATTATGATAACATTTTTAAAGAGAGAAGATAGAGTATTTATTACTGAAATCTTCTAAAAAATTAAGAATTCTTGAATTGAACAGATTAAAGAATCTTTTAATACGACTTTAAAATAAAGAATTGAAATTGAAATGTAAACGTAAATGAAGTATATATTGAAAATTAGTAAAAATTAGAGATTTTACACATAAATACAATATTAACTGTATGTATCATTTTCTAAAATTGAAACTGCGAAATCTCTATAGAATAGTATAGAAAAGGCGAATGTAATATCGGTGAGTTATTCTATTCTGCTGAATATTAATTTCTACTGTCATTCTAATTTCTTTGTAAAAACTCGCAAATATGTAAATATATACGGATATGTGCCATATTTATTGTTATGCTTATTTATCCATATTTATTGTTATTATTATTATGAACTAATCAATTATCATTTTGCATCATAAAGAAAAAAATGATCAAAGGAATAATGTTTTTAGAAAAAGACAAAGTTTAAATTTAAAGGTAAAATTCCAGAAATTTCTCCGAATTCCGATAAAATAAAATTTCTATAAAAATCCCAGGTTTTCGGGAATATAAAATGTATTCTCTGAAAATTCCAGATTTTTCCAAGTTTTTTCAAGTAATAAATCCTGAAGTAAAACAAAAAGAAAATATGAAAAAGAGAAACAGATAAGGGGGATAATAAGACAATATATCTAAAAGTTGTTAAATAATCTCATCAAGATAAAAGAATCAAGAATCAAGCAATAAAAACTATATTATTAGTATTTAAATGTATAACTAGCTAAACATATTTGTTATTTAAAGATAAAATTTTAAATAAAATAATCATTGTATCTGACTCTTCGTCACTCGTTAATTGCTCAAAAATTATTTCATACTTAAACACATATAATTGGAGGAGATTATTTTATAATCTTCTAATCATATGTATTTAAGTAACATAACGGGCTTTATTGTTTCACTCCCGGAATGTCTTGATATCTTACTTAACTTTTTATCATTAAATATAATAGATTTGTTTTAATTTTAATAACAATTTAATAACTTAACAACCTTTAATAACAATTTTTCTCACGTTCAAAATATTTTCCCAAGATAATTGATACACTTAACTCCGCTTTTATTGTTAATCAAGAAACAACTAAAACTTAACATTCTCTATAAAAATTTTACATTTTCTATTAAAAGATTTAATCATAGTTCCAGCAAAGATTTTTATTTGATATTAAAAATGAAGATATTCAAGAGAGAATATATTTTCAAGTATTTTATTTGTGAGAGACATTACAACACTCGATAATCTTCGATGCCGATTTGGAATCCCGAAATGTTAATATTCTCACCTTGTCAAACCTATAAGACCGACCAATTAAGTCGGACGGTAGCTGTGAGCTGTGGACCAATCGTGGACAGTCTCCGTTAGAAAGGAACCGATTATGGGTTCGCTACCGCGCAACAGTTTAGCTTGGAACTTAACTGTTGCGTCTAAGAAGAGCTATCATTAAGTCCGGAATAGGGGTCCGGGCATTAGGATTAGTGGCCGAAACGTTTTGGATAGGCTTCTGTATCGCTCGAGTTCATCCCCGGACCTCTCGCCCACGAAGGAGGAGGACCGCGATCATCGTAATTCGATCAGCTGGTGTTGGGTTCCTCGTTCGTCGAAGCGGAGGTACCAGAGAAATTGTATTTGCATTCTCGCAATACATGTCAGCGAATACATGAAGAAGAAATCGTAAACTTACGGAGGATTTTAAGCCAGACTGTACTAATTTAGGGGAAATGATCTCTAGATACAAGGACCGACGGTATCTAAAGATCATTTCTCCTAAATTAGTACTGTCTAAAACTTGTAATTGGGAGAATAATTGGCTTGACGAATATCGATATTCATATGATTGCATTCCTTCTTTTTAATGAAGATAAAAAAAGGAAAGCAATATGCACGAATCAATATACCGTCACTTCAAATCAAGCCAGAATTACAAATCTTGTGCTACATTAGGGGGTTGTGCTTTCTCATTCTCTACCCTTGTTTTTTATAGAATGAGATGCAATAGCTTTGATAAACCTCAATTGCAGACAATATTGCTCGAGATTGTTAATAGAATTGAACGATGGGAATCTCTGAAGTTTTCACTATCTTTCATCAATATACGCAGAATTCCGGAGCGATGAGAATGCGTCTATCGTCGCGTATGCACGTATAGGCGTCGACGCGAGAGCATTCGCGTATATATGCATACGCATGCGAAATATACATGCATTCATGCACATATACATATGCATATGTTCATACACATATATGAACAGATACGCGAGAACGAATGCGCTTCAAATTTCGCAAGAGACAGACAAGCTCTCGCTGAATACAGACTCGCTTTCTGAGAGTTAGCGATTTCCGGAGCAGCTGAAGATCAAGTCCAAGTCGTAGCAGCCGATGAGGAGTCTATCTCAAAATAATGCGAGTTAAGACTCGTTTGCGGAGGCTCGCTTCGCGATTTGGTCTCAGGTGTGTCAAAGAACCTATAACCAACCCAGGAAACCTTGGCTTTCCCTTAAAGGGATTGTCACTCACCTCGGCGTACACGTCACCTTCGTTGTCGCTGTTTCGCCCGCGAACTGCGCACCAACGTCGCCGGTCTCCTCGCGTGAGCACGCAGAGCAACAGGTATTCTAGTCGCCGCTCGGGCGACTAAGAATCTCGCGTCTCTCGCGAGCTGACGGAGAAAGAAGGAGAGAAATCGCAACCTCCGGACTCTCTGTCTGGTGAGTGCGCGGAACCGTTCGAAGGGAATGCGTACGAGACCTTTTCGAGTACTTGATGGTTTTCGATACTATAAAACTGAGAGAGCCGAACCGAGCTAAGCTGAACACGAAACTGTGCTGCCGATCTCTCGTGTTCCGTTCTCCTCCTCCTCCCGCCTTGCCCGCCGCCTCCTTCTCTTCTTCTTCCTCCACCTCCACCACTGGGTTCTCTCCTTCAGCTCCTCCTTCTACTCGCGGTACGCGTTCGGTTCCCGTTCCGCGCCGCGTTCCCGTTCCGTTCTCCCTCTTCGTCGATCTCGCGCCTCGGCATCGACGTTCTCCGCAGGTGCAACAAAGCGGAGAGAAAGGACGACGGGGCCAATGATGCGAGGAGGGGAAGAGAGATCAACCGTGAGCAAGGGAAAGAGATCTCCCCAGCTACCACCTCTCTACAAAACGCGTCGCGCGTACTGTAAAAAGCATATCGCCCGAGGCGTTACATCGCGAACCAGTAAAACTTGTCGTACGCCGACATCGCGCGCTCATCGATCGTAGCCGAGAGAGACCGAGCTGCGAACGCGATTGCCGGTCTCAGGGAGATGCGCGGCGCGAAGGTGACGAAGAGGAGGATTCAGGGATGGCGAGCCGGACACCGCGACGCGCGCCTCCGCTGACGTTAACGAGATCACTAGGGTTGCCGCTGATCCGCAAGAATTCGGAGCCGGTCAACTGGAAGCTGCCTCCCTCTCCTTCCCTCAGTCTCTCTCATCATCTTAGCCCCCGGTTCCCCCGATCTACGGCTCCTCGAAGCTTATTAAATATTTGCACTATACTTGTTAAATTTGCAAATGTTACATCTTGCCAAATGCGCCTAAGGAGCCTAAATGTGTCCACTTTAATCTAAATCGAATTAGAAATTAACCCTTAATTCACACGATTAGATCATTCGTGTTCCATATATTTCTTTTCTTTAAAATATTAGAAACAACTGGCTAAATAATAGTCTCTATCTTTTATTTTTTTAAATGCATTTGAACTTTACAAATACATTCTAAAAATGTTAACCCTAATCAGTATTCACAAATCCAGTAGATCAAGACATTTTTTGTAATTAAAAAATTGTAATTAAATTGTAATTAAAAATTTGTAATTAAAAATTGTGAAAAATTATTTATAATAAATGTTTTTCATAAACTTATATAATCAATTCTTTAGATACCGACCTAAAAAAAAGGAATCGTTCAGTTAATTTTAATCAAAACATTAATTTAAAATATATCGGATCTGCGAATCAATTAAGGAAATTTTAAAGCGAATATGTTTAACCAATTAGGATTCAAGTATACATAAAAATTACTTAATAATTTTTGTATACTTGTAAAAACAATGAAAATTAATCTGGGACGCGAACAATCTATCGCATATAAAAAAAGATCGAAAAATCATCGTGTGTATTAAGAGTTATTGACTAAATTAGCAAAAAAAAAGATTTGTACTGGAGATAGTGCAATTTCTCTAAAATGCAATTTCTCTTTGTGTTATTTCGCTACTTAGAATTATATTTGATTCGCTTTATCGCTGGTCCCAGAACTGTTCTCACATATTGTAGCAGATCCTTGCATTTCTGTTCTGTATTTGTATCTTCAGAACTACCCCAAATAATCAAACCGTCAGCGCCAAGGTTGACGATCGTGTTAAATGTGTTCTCCGTGTCTTTCTGTGCAGATAAATTCTCGATAAATCTCCTTGACACCAATATCTGATGTAAACATTTCAAAGAACTCAAAAGGACTTACCTCACTTAAGAAATTATCTCTGTTATCCTGATACTTGAACCAGTAATAGGGAAGAACTTGTTGTTTGCGCAGAATTTTGCCTGCCATACGTAACGCCTCGGATACTCTACCCTTCACGAAGCCCACCCGATCTTCTCCTTTGATCTCCTGTCTCAAGTACACGGAAGACAAGTACACGTCCTCGAGCGTGAAGAGCCAAGACATTCTATGGAAATTGTTGCTCGTGATTACCTCCGATTACATTGATGTTCGGCTGCTTCTTTATCGTTTCGCGTGATTAGATAACGCGCCGGTAACGAAATTGCTTTTTAACACTCTGATGTCCTCGACATTGACCTATTTCGATATAAACACCGTAATCTTAATACGTTGATTCTCAATCGTCTTGTGTCCGGGTGATGTCATTATCGTAAATTAGCCGCGAATTAAACTGTACTATATGTACAGTCAGTCCCATAAAAGCCATATATATATTTTCAAGAAGTTTATGCATGAGAATTTAAAAAAAGAATTTTTTTGTTAAGTACAATGATCTATTTCATTAACATTCAATAATCTATTTCATTATTGCCTAATATATCATCCAATTGCTATTGTTCTTCGTTGTACTTGATTAAAATGACGTCTGGTCATATTTTCAACTAGTTTTTAAATGTAATTGATAGAAAACGATCTTATATATATTTGCAGATTTGATAGTAACTGCTTCGCATATTATTACAGCGTCTTTCGTATAAATCCTAACAACGCTTATGTAAGAGAGATTCTTAAGATAATTTTAAGACGAAAATTATAATATTCAAAATTATTATATTAAGGTTATAATAATTTTTAAATAATAAGCATTTAAAGTTAACTACTGCCTAGTTTATTCAGGTATGATATGCTTGGTCCACAATCTTTCTTTAAGACGCCTTAAATCATAAGTCGAAAGTGATTAAGTGACAATAATTTCTGTCCTTAAACTGTTTTTGCGCAGTCTTTAGGCTTTAACCATTAAACTTAAACGAATTGAGCAAAGCTCAATTCTTACGGCCTAAAATTATAAATTCTGTGGCAGATATATCATCACTTACAACTTACAGCTTATATATAGCCTTTTAAAGCAAGGACTTAACTATACATATTATGTACATAACATAACACAAAATAATATATTAAACTAAAATCTCGAAAGTTAATTGTGGTCTCTTGATATAATATTGATGTAAAGATAATATTGTTGTAAAATATGAAAAGATAAAAT